GATTTGTCCATATTTTATACATTAGCCCCAATACCTAATGCATAAGCATTTTATTACAAAATATGGTTCATTATCACATTTGCCCCAAACTACGGGGCAAATGAGATATAAGGAGGATGTTTTAAAAAAATATATCCAGCAAAGAAAAATAAGCTGATATTAAGATTTAAAATATAATGTCGGCTAATAAACATGATAAAAATGTATACCAATTTTTTTCAAAATTTTAATTGTTGAACTTTTCATTTTGCAGCGCTATCCATTCAACAAAAAATGCCATGGAGGAATATATTAAATAAATATAACCAACTTTGGCATCTGGTCTTATCTCTATGTGTCTATACATCAAGGCCATAACTCTGTCTCTTTTCCTTCTTGGCCGGAAACGTCAGAATTTCCAACGTTGCCAGTTGTAAAATTTACAAAGTAACAAAGTGTGGTAACAAATAAATTTCAATAAAAAAATATAATTTTTTAGATACAATAAAATACAGATAAAAATGCACCTATGTCAAACAAAATACATCAAATTACCTATGAAATACGAACATACTTTTTTATGTTGGGGGCAATTTATTAACCATATTACAGGCACTAGTAGTAGTATGTATGGTAGTAGGACTTCTCGCGGAGATTATTTGCTGTCGATGGGTTCATATGTCTTTTTAAAATCAGCATTTTTAGTTTATAATTATTAAATACTTCATGTGGAAGTGCATTTTATCTTTGGAAATATATTATTATTTAATACGGTATACAACATTCTATGATTTACGAGTATTTAGTCATCTTATAATATTTAACTAAATATGTGGCAACGTCATTCAACCTGGCGTATCGGTATAGAAGGTACCAATAGTAGTTAAAAAATAACTTTGTTTGTATGTTGTTATTACTACTAGTAGATAGTGGTATTAAAATTTAAAAGATAACTGCAAGTTTTTTTTAGAATTATTTTTAGTCAATGTCAACTTACGGTTATTCCTGAAGTATTAGCAAATTGATTGAACAACTGCTAAATAATTGTAAACTAAAGGTACCATTTGGGTAGGCGCGTCAGGAGACAAGCGACCACTGAAGCGACCCCAAGGTCGAGTAGGAAGACAGAAGCATAAATGTTTCTGTACATTTCGCAAGCTTAAAAAGTGTCGCGCGACATTTACAGGGATAACCATTCGAGGGAACAATCAGCGTTGCCAGACCTACTGTTTTCACGTGGATCTACTGTTTTTGTCTCTAGCAAATTTTGGTCTTAATTTATTAAGTTTGCCTCATTCTTCAGCAAATGGTTAAAGAATATTTTCTCTAGTAAATTTTCTGCAGTAAAAGCAGCGTAAGAAGCAGCCACTATTGTGGGTTTGTTTTTATTTAAACTGCAACAAAGAATTAATAGGACAACATAAAAAGAATATGCATGTACGTATTTGAATTATTTGATTCAGACTGATCTGAAAGAAATACCTATTATTTTTCATTAGTTTTTTTTTTGTTTCCTGACGTTAAGTATATAATAAAAATTTATTTTTCGTTTCTTATATAATTATTTGTTTTTTTTTTTATTTACTACACTGTAAATTATAATTATTTCCACCTGTACTAAAATCTACTGTTAAGATTCAATGATCTATTGTTTTTTTTTTTCGCTAATTTTCATCTGGCAACTCTGGCCGACAGATCGATAGAACTTGTATCATTATTCAGTTCGGAGAAAGTGGTTTTTGTGGAAACATATTATTAGGAGTTATTTCTAAAAAAATGATCAAACGACGAATATTAAAAATGTTACTTGAGGAGGAAGAGGATGATGACAACTTGTTGTATTTTTTATATAAAAAAAGGCGACCAATGAATTCAATGTATAAAAATAGAAGTACAGAAGGAATTTATTCTGTGTTAATAAATACTCATTTAGCTCTAAACGAAGACAAATTCAGACAATTTTTCAGGTTAAATAAAAATCAGTTTAATTATATATTAAGTTTGCCTCATTCTTCAGCAAATGGTTAAAGAATATTTTCTCTAGTAAATTTTCTGCAGTAAAAGCAGCGTAATAAGCATCCACTACTGTAGGTTGGCTCCATAAAAAAAACATCAAGATAATCATTGTTTTTATTTAAAATGAAACAAAGAATTAATAGGGCATCATAAGAAGAACATGTATATGCCAAACACTATTATCTGATTCAGACTGATCTAAAAGAAGGAGGTACTTATTATTTTTCATTGGTTTTTTCCCGTACGTTAAGTATATAATAAAAATGTTTTTATTTGTTTTTATTTTTTGTTTACTTTCTAATTTGGGTAGAAAAAAGTTTATTTTTCGTTTCTTATATACTTGTTTTTTTATTTACTACACTGCAAATTATAATTATTTCCCCCTGTATTAAAACGTACTGTTCAAATCTACAGTTTTTTTTACCCATACTGTTCCAAAATCTGGCAACGCTGCCTAGATCGAAAGAAATTTCCATCCTAATCACCCTCAAAATGAACCGATGCTCGAGGACAGTGACCCCAAGTGCGACATGCAGCAAACCTTTGCCCCGAGGCAGATTCAGAAGTGTCTCCAGGAAGTGTCGTCTTGACGACACTTCTCGTGTCGCGCCGTGTGAAATGTGTTTCATATAATTGTATGTATTTTAGATGTGAAGCGACACTTCTTGGTCGCGTCGGCGGTCGTCTGTCGCGCCTACCGAAATGGTACCTTAAAGATAAATGTTTATCTAATAAGGGTTATACAATGGTCACAGAAAGATCAATAAAATAATGGCAAGTTTTTTAAAAACTTGCTATTGTTAGATATTGAATAGTGACAAGTCAAAAATCTTAGGTAGATTCTTGTATAAGCCGAATTTTCTGTGTACAAATTTTATAAATGATGTACCTAATAATTCTGAGGACATTCAGGGTAGGAAAGATAAACAATTTTGGTTAAAAAATTAGAATCAATCGATAATAACAAGTAGCTAGTAAACCGAATGGTGTAAATATTTTAGATACTAAGTGAATCTATTCTAAAAAACCTTTAGAGGAAAATGAATATGATAAATATAAAGCTAGACTAGTAGTTAGGGGTTTTGCTCAAGAAGATATAGATTTTGATGACATATACCCTCCAGTTGCAAAAACAGCCATAGAACTCTATTATGTATCGGTAATTAGTTTGCATATCATTTTAGACAGCTGGATGTTAAATGTGCTTTTCTAAACGGGTTTCTAAATGAACCAACTTATATTTATCTGCCGAAAGGATACTCAGGTAACTCGACAGATGTATTGAAGTTAAATAAATCTTTATATGGTATAAAACAGTCATCTAAATGTTGGAATGATGAGATAAATATGTTCTTATTAGAAATGAGATTTAAAAGGTCGGACAATGGCAGCTGCTTATATCATATGTGTGTAGGAAAAATAAAAGTATTTTTGTTGCTCTATGTAGATGACATAATATTAGCCAGCTATGATTTAAATATATTGGATAAAATATTTGTAAAGCTAACAAATTTGAGATGAAAGATAAAGGTAATCTAAAACATTTTTTTTAGGTTTAGAGATCTCTTATGATAGAGAAAATGGCTTTCTTAAAATTGCTCAACCCCAATATATTCAAAGGATATTATTAAAATTTAATATGTCTAATTGCAAACATTCTGATATTCCGATAGATCCTGAATTAAAGTTAAATCTTAACAATAATAAAATTACAGATAAACCTATTCGACAATTAATAGGAAGTTTATTGCATTTAATGTTAGAGTCGCGTCCAGATATATGTTTTGCCTTAAATTATTTAAATAGATTCCAAGATAAAAATATAGAGGAGATCTGGACATATTTGAAACGAATTCTAGGATACCTTGAAGGGACGATTTTCATGGGTTTAGAATATAAAATGCAAGAAACTGCTCATGCTTTAATTTGTTTGTCGATGCCGATTGGGCAAATAATTTATCTGACAGAAAATCGGTTTCGGTTTCTTATTTAAAGCTTTTGGGAATACCATTGTTTGGTCAACTAAAAACAACATTGTATAACCTTATTTACTACTGAAGAAGAATTAGTTGCTCTATATAACGCAGTCACAGAAGGTCTCTGGTTGAAAAAATTGTTGTTAGACTATTAATATAAATATAATTACAATTACTTATTATGAAGATAATCAGGGATGCATAGCATTAGTTAAGAATCATAATAGTAACAAAAGACTTGGACCTTAAGTATAAATTTGTTTGTGAGTTTTTAGAAAAGAAGTATATCGAAATAATATACATTGAATCAGGGTCACAAGAAGCTGATATGTTTACAAAAGGCCTACCATATACTTCCTTCTCAAAATTGAGAAACAATATTGGTCTTAGGGATTTTAGCGAAGGGGGGGTAACGAAAAATCCGCTAAAATCTTATTTCGGAACGCACTTTAAATTGTATTAGTTTTAAGTTTTATTATTATATTGGTAGTACTGTATGTCAGTTGTTGAAGTTTAATGTCACGTTTTATGTATGCACATTATTGTTTGTAATAAAAGTATAGGTAATCCACAATCATCTAATAAAATACAGAAGGAGTAATAATAAGTGTTTTATTAAAAGAATAGAAAGTATACAAGGAAAGCAGGAGTCACAAAAGTTAAACATTGAAACCACCTACCACAACTAAAAAAAACTTATACATCATTGAAAAGCCTATAAAAAATGCTATCCGATGGTATAAATAATAATTGTATGATAATAATTACCAAATTAATATCTAACAATTTTAAAAACAAACATACCCTACATCTGATACAATGTTAAAAAGCTCTAAAGACCAATAAAACCTTATTTTCAAAGTTAAGTGTCCGTAGGTACTTTTTGATATCATAGCCCATTGTAAGTTTTTAAATTGTCACACCCTATACACATTGTTCATTAACAATAATATAGTGTTTATTATGCAGTTAATGAAAGAGTTGCAGTGTTAAAGAGTAAAAATATAAAAGGTGAACAGAGTTTTCATTATGGTTGATGAAAAACAGTTTTCTGAAGTATATTTGAATATAACTTATTTTTTCTTTGTATGTGAAGATCAGCAAGTTACAAATAATCTGTTACACTCATCAGTCATTCCTGAGACTTTCTGCTATCCAAAGGAATCAAATGAGACTAACAAGGATATAGAAGATTATTGCTGCAAGGGGTGTCAACAGAATGGTTAGTACCCTATATAAATATAACTAAAATGTAAATTATCTATTACCTACTGAGATTGGCCATTTATTTATTGACTACCTAAATAGCTCAATATATAGCAATATTGATAAATTAAAATATCTACCACAAAATTATGCATTTTAATCTTAAACTGAAAACTGTTATCGAACAGAACCATCTTTTAAGAAGTTTAGCAACTGATATCCTTTTAGAAGTTCGACAAAAAAAAGAAATATGAGATATAAATAAAAATAGTGATGAATTATTGTTCACTAAATATAAATTGAGTGTTCTAATAAATTCGGAAGAAGACTTCCTAAAATTTAATATTTTAAATATTGATACAAATTTCAATGGAGCTGTGAGTACATTTATTTTAACAAATATTTTCGTTTGTATTGATTCTTGTTTGTAATACATATATCGTCTCGGTGGCGTAGTTGTCCACGAGTGGCCGGTATTCACTTACAAGCCAGTTAGTGGTTGATCGAGACTCTACTTTGAGTCCTAGAGCAGATCATGTGAATTTTTAATTAAATTGCACGGTACCATTATAGGATTTGATGAGTACAGTATTGGTAGTGATTTAATTTCTATTGATATGGCTTCCAGATTATAAATAACAATGCGTTACTGTTTCGATGATGGTGGGTAAGGTTTTCCTCGCCTGTTAGTCAAATGGCACCAAAATCATCTTTAAGTCGCCTCGGAGCGCCACGAAAATAATAATAATAATAATAATAATAGCCGTCCCTTTCCCTACACAAGTCTTTTAGTCGGCTTCAGGGGTTGAAATTCACTCGTAAAAATTTACTCGTAAGGGGTGAATTAGGGAGAGTATTATTATATGTACAATTGGTGTTATTGTTATTATTATTATTTTATGTATAGGGGTTTCACATATATTTTGAATGCTCCCTTACATTGACAAATTTCAATTGTTCTCTATTTGCATATTCACAGGAAAAATTATATAAGATCACATTCTGAAATTTTTTATAAAAAAATAGATGGGTTATATAATATTCTCATTTCTGTATTTTTATCCCGTAAATACCCATATAATTATGCTTTCATTAATCAGTATCTAGTGTTTCTTTTGTAATAAATTAAAAAATTACTTTTCAGGTGAATGAATTAGCAAGAATGGGGGGTACCAACAATTACAATATGGTAAAGCGTATTTTGACTTCACTGCTTCATAATGAAGAAGCAATGAAATATAGTTGGTTAGAATTAAAAAGGAAAGAAGCCATTTAGTAATATGAAAATTACTCAACTTATCATAAGTGAGTAATACACTGTCTATGTTAGATGCCTCATAATTGGTGCCAAAGCTGATTTTAAATTCTCATGGAAAAACAGGAACATTCTAAAAAATTACCTTGGTGGTAGAATCCATGTTTTTCTATGTAATTTTTCACAACTTCTATTATTTTGAGTATGTACTAGAGGTTTTGAATTTAAATTATCATATTTTATGAGAGCTATTGTCTAGGAAATTAATAATTCGAATACAGATTGCATTTTCATATTGATCTGCCATTCATTTTAAATAAGGAATTAAATTATTTTTAGGTACAGCTGAGAAGGCAAATATGGCCATGTCGAGGAAAGACACGGAAATATCCATACAGGCATGGTTAAAGAGGGCCAAGGAGAGAGAGAATTCCACGAAAAAATTTTAATAACAATTGTCAATAGGTTATATTTTCTTCCGAATAAAAGATTTTGAAATGTTTAATATTTTCATTAATTTCCTCAAACATCCTGTATTTTTCTATTCGAGCTCCTAATTATGTCCATGGAATGCTCTTAAATGTCCATTAGAAGACCTAAAATGATCTATTATGGACGTGCTAAAGACATCCTGATTATTAACAATGGACGTTCCAAAGACGTCCATAAGACGTCCATGTCCGTGAAATGGACGTTGTAAGGATGACCTGAATGTCCAAGCAGGACGTTTTTAAAACGACCATAAGACGTATTTGTGCTATCTGGGGTGGCGTCTCTGATTATTCTTAGGAATTTTATTATAAAAAGAAGTTTTTTTGAATTCGGTTGTGCCCGTGGATACAGTGTTTAGTTAGAATGTTTTCTGTAGTCGAGTTTAATGAACAATCTAGAGATGGGCTTGCAGTTGTGAACTGGTTTACCCCACTTAAAAAGGAAGTATTTTGGACGCCCTATAAAGACAATAAAGCTTATATTAAAGCGATGAAACAAGGAGAAAAAATTTCTGAAACAAATGGAAATTATTTTCTGTAACAAAATGTTGTTTCACTACAGGTAGGGGAAATGTGCCTGAGTTGGCATACTGGTATTTTCTCGGCTTCTAAAAAATTTGCGGCGGAATTAACCTTCTCCTTCTATTTACCTATTCTGTATAAGTATATATTATATTGATTTTTTTTATTGTTTTTTTTTTATTATCTTTATATTTAAATAATTTTTTTTTATTGTTTTTAAAAAAAAATCAATATTTAATTTTACTTGTTTTGTTGAGCGCCTTATTTTTTTTATTTAAATAATTTTTATAATTAATATCCTTCTATAAAAATTAATTTAACTCCGGCTATGTTTTTTATTAAATACCCTAATCAAATTATCAGATATTTCACATGATATGCTCTCATCCCAGGAGTCGGTTCCCATACAATAAAATTATCATTTTAAGTTTAATTTACCTTTTGTTTATCTCTATTAATTTTGTTATTGACCCTGTATATATTTTTTTTAATAAAATTCATTTAAGTTAACAAATTTATTTAAATTTCAATTTCCAAATAAAAACCAAACAATTATAAACAATTATAATATAAATCGTATAATATTAAATTAGAAATAAATCCTCATTGTTTTTTTTACTCATCATGAAAATTATAAATTTCTCAATGAGTTTTTATTTTCCAAAAATATATCTGCAGATATTTTTGTGACTTAAATGTAGTGGACAAAAAATGGCGTGGAGTATAATAGTAGGTATTTGCGCCCTCTATTGGTTAATAGAAAAAATTATATTCATAACGAAGGAAGTTTGGTAGTTACCACATATAACAATTTTTATATTATTTTTAGATTTCTGTACAACTCACACTGATGGTGATCTACAAAATGTCATTAAATGAATAGTACCTTTTTTTGTTTCAGTTTCACTATTAGAAAAATTTAATATGATCACTGTTCTAAGTATAAAATACTTTAGTTTATTGGTGTGTGATGTGTTCGTGGGTTTCTTCACAATGAAAAGTTAAAACTTAAAGTCACTTACAATAGTGCATGGCAATTTGCACTCTGGAGAATCCACGGTCTGGTTCTTATGCATAAACCAGAATCCAGGGTCAGATTTCCTTTAATGGCCGGTCTCGATATGAGTTTTTCTGGTGAGTAAATTTGTTTATTTACCTGTCTTTCTTCATGAAATTTAGCTTAAATTGATCCTTAATTACTATTGTACATTTTAATAATAGATAATAGAAAATTATATGAATGAATTATTCAATAAAATCTTTTAAATTAATTTTAGATTCAAAAATTTACAAATCTCCTCAAAAAAACGACAAAATGGAGTCCTTTATTTAACAAATTCGTTGCCTAACAACCGATTAAACCGCTACTAGATATTCAATTCTCCAATCAAAGATTTTTACGGGTCTGATACAATTCAAAGTAAGTAATTTTTAGTTTTATTTTTACTGTCTGAGCAAAGAGTATATCATGGTTATTTCTTATAATTTAAAACACATTATTTTGATTTTTCCTTAGTCAGATGTCACCTATATTCCAATTTAAATTTCTATTTTCTCCCCTGTTACAATTTAATCCAAGTGACCACAGAATTACTTTGGTATGAATAAAATAAATTTATTAATTCCAGAGGCGTCTCAGGGGGCTTGATACTTATAGGTAAAATTATGGTACGGCACTGTTTTTTTTTCCAATTAAATTTTTTTTTAAATTAAGCCGTCAATAGTGTAACTTTCTTGCCTCCTGAGCTTTACCCGTATCTAGCTTTGTTTCAAAGAAAAAAATCAAAATCTGTGCCTGGCCCTATTTTTTTTTTTGCTTGGGCACTTGCCATTCAACCAGTCGCGGAATATATGATATAAGTTTAAATTGCATTATCACTCTAAATACATCCATTCAATCATACACACTTTTGTCCTAAGCAAGAAAAGAAGAAAAATATATAACAGAAGATAAGGCAAGCAAGGAATAAACAAAGGAAAACATTTCTTCTTGTCTAGGGGCCCATCAAGACATTTTTTTTTACACACAAAACTAGGCCACGGAAAAGTAGGTATATAACAATTGGGTTAGAACATAGGTTGCAAGACTAATATTAATTACAAACATACTTTACTTTCATACACAAATTTTATCAAGAGGTCGTAAATTTTTGTTTGATTAAGTGAGAGGAGATGACAAATGTTAAATGGAGGAAATACATTATTTTTGATTAGATCTTGAGATTGTTGGGTATAGTTTGCACAACTAAAGAAAATATGATTTAGATCGCCTTTCTCTTGACACATAGTACATATCTCCGAATCTATAACATGGATTTTGAATAAATGTGCTGGATAACATGCATGTTCAAATTTCAATCTAATTATAGTTGTTATATACTTCCGAGGAAGTGAATAGTTTTTAAACCAATGCACATTCGGAATTTTTGGTTGTATTTTTGAATATTGAGTTGTAGTGGTTTTGCAAAAGTCTTTCCAAGATTTTCTCCAATTTTTCATTTGTCGTTGTTTCTCAATTGCAAAAGCATCCAAATTGAACAGCTGATAACTCCTGGCCCTATTAAAACAAGTACTTTGACACCCTGTAGAAAACGAAGCAAGTTAGGACATACGATTATATGAAAAAAAAAATCGTATTTTTGGCTGGTAAATACGCCCTTAAAATCTTTGCACTCAATTTTGAATCACCCTGTATATTATTACGTTACACTAGTTACAAAAAAATTATTAAAAAATCGTCTCTATTTGGTGACGCTGAATGTGAAAATGCGAATTATTTTTTTTATTTCGCACTCTTCGTTATAGAGATACAGTGATTCCGAAAAGAGGAATATAAATAGTAAGTGTATTTGATAAAAAATTGGGATATACAGGGTGTCCCATTAGTGCGTAATTATTCAACATTTTAATATGTGTTATATTTATATTTTTTAAATAGAACACCCAGTATTTTATTTTAGTTTTAGAATGGTTTGGTAATGCTGTATTCAACCCTAGAATATTTAAAAAAATATTATAGGTTTGCCAAGCAATTTATTTTTTTATGAAATTAGAGAATGATGGGGACCTTAACTTAAATTTTCATAATTTAGGTAGGTTTAAAGTGATTTTAAAATTGTTTAAAATACAGAGCAGAAAAAGATAGTAAGCTAACGAATAGTAGTGATATAGTTTGTTTATTTTATACAGTGTTTTGAAACATGTCTTAAATATGGCTAATTTTAAGTTCAATTTACTCAATTTTTTAAATATATTTATATTCCTGATAAATTTATACAGGGTTGTCCCATCAGTGCGTAATTGATCGATAGCCGTTTTATTATTGGAAATGCAAAAAAAAAATTATATAACCATATATTTATGGATTATTCTAAATATACAGGGTGGTCCATAAACGAAGGGCTGACAAAACCTATACTTTTTTAAAGCAAAATACCCTGCAGGTAGTTATACATATTTGATTTTTTTGTCGTTGAACAATTTTAATAGACTTCATTTATTTATTTATTTATTTTTATATAAGGTGTGTCAAAACGTGACGTTACGATTTTCTCAATTTCGTTATGAAATACCTTGTTTAATTAATTAATTAATTAATTAGTGGTATAACATACAAGGTATTCCATTTAAAAAATTGAGAAAATCGTAACCTCGCGTTTTGCCACACCCTATATACAACATGGCAAATAAATGAAGTATATTAAAATTGTGTGACGATTTGAAAACAATTATATATGTATAACACCTGTAGGGTGCTGTTAAGAAAAAGTATAGGTTTGGTCAGAATAATTCCTAAATATAATCATACAACTTTTAGGTAATTTTTTTTTTCGTTTTTCCAATACTAAAGCAGCTATTAATCAGTTAGGCACTAATGGGACACCCTATATATGTGTTATTGAGCAAAATGTTAGTATCGTTGGATAGGAAAAAATATACAGGGTGTTGTATTTAAAAAAATGAGTAAATCAAACTTAAAATTTGCCATTTTTGAGGCATGTTTCAAAACACTCTGTATAAAATAAATCAGTTCTACCATCACTAATCGTTAGCCTGGTATATTGTAAGTCTGTAGTTTAAACAATTTTAAAATCATTGTGAAGCTACCTAAATTATGATAATTTAATTTGGGGTCTACATCTTCCTTCAATTTCAGAAAAAAATTAATTGCTTGGCAACCCTCTAATATTTTTAAAAACATTCTAGCATTGAATACAGTATTACCAAACTATTATAAAACTGTATTAAAATGCAGGGTGTTCTATTTAAAAAATATATATTTTTATTTGCCAGGAAAAGACGTAACATATATTTTATTTGATACTTGTTTGCATGTCTATAACACAAATTAAAATATTAAACAATTACGTACTAATGGGATACTCTGTAGAGTGAGAGTATAGCCGTGCTTAATCCCAAATATGAATAAAAAAAAATTAAATTGGACATAAATAAACAAACTTTAATTTTTTAGTCACATTAAAGAATTTATTAATGAAAGTTGTTTATAATATTATGATTTTGTTAAGTTTTGTTCTAATTACATGCACATATCTAATAAATATGCTAACTTAGTGTGATGTCATTTTGGTTTCACTGACATTTAATTCTAACCAAACTTTTAACAAAAACATCAATAAATTTGACGTATACATTTTTACTGTTTTTAGTCTATTTGTAAATATTCTTTACAGGTCATACAAAATAGTTTAAAGGTATGTAATTGGTAACTAAACGATTGTATATTTGATGCATGTTATCTACTTACTTTAGGAATATATTTATAAAAATGAAAAAACTATTATAATTTAGGTAAAGAAAACGAACAAAACGTACTCAAAAAATCTACTGTCACTTTAATTGTCAGTGGAACCATAATTACATCATCAATAAACTAGCGTATTGAGGGAAAAACCGATTATCATATTGAAATTTTTAACAACTGCATAATTTATCGTTTTGACGAAATGCTCCTAAATTAAATAAATTGGAATGGTGCTACTTCTAGCTTTAAACATAATTCAAAACAACTTTCATTACTATTTTTTAATGTTTCCTTAAAATTGAAGGTTGTATATTGTTGTGTATTTAAAAAAAGTCCTCTAAAAGAACCGCGTGTACGAACAATTTTATTCAAATTTGAGGTGTACTACAACAAGCAATTCTGAACCCCAAAAGTATAATTCGCTATCAATTGATATTACATATAGAATACTAAAAATTGTTTATTAAATTTGCCATAACTTCCGGCTCTATTTGATTAAAAAAACTTAAATTTCCCTATTGTTTTAAGCGGTCTCTTCTCAACTAATATTTTTAAAACGTCCATGTTATTCAGTTCTATAATTTAAAAATAAATACCTAATTAAATCATACGAGATATTAGCATATTTCTATTCAGCGACTCGAAATAAACAAAAATTGTTTCATTTACCGCATATAGCCAGTGGAACCTTTAACTGAAAGTATCTTATACAGAAATTATCTATAAACAATTGTAATCTTAAAGAACTCGCCCCCCATTGACATGGGTCCTAATGGTTTACAATTACCGGTTCTATTTATTGGCTATACCTAAAGCAAAAATTGGTATTACATGTATCAGTGGATACGATAGTTATGAGAGCAGTCCTCCTCCACCACTAACAGAATCTATGGAAGAAATTGATATTGGTTCAGATCTAGACCCAACTTTTCAAACACCTTCACCTTCAAATTCAAGCACAGATAATGAAAGTAATTATGAAAACTATTTTACTCTTAATAACGTAAATAATTTAAACATAATGGCAACCGAAGTCGAACCGAAAATAATAATTCTAAATAATATAAAATTGACAGTGAGTTAGATCTGTCTTATATTTTTGTAGTTATGTTTATATTTGTGTTCTTTTAGGATTCTCAGCCTAATAAACTTTTATTACCAAGCTCTTCAAAAGTCGTAAGTTAAGTGTTATTTCTCTTTTAACCAGTTGTTATTTAAATTTTGGTTATTGTAGAGTGGCCACAGTATCGAATCAAAGAAGAAAAGAACACACTGTAAGTTTTGCTTAACCAATGTTACAAATTTCGAAAGGCATTTGGAGCGGAATCATAGTGATTTAAAAGAGGTGTTGGATATGTTGTCATATCCTAAAAAACACAAAGAAAGAAAAAAATAATTGGTCTTCTAAGAAATGCTGGACAATTTGATGAGTTTATAAGGGGAAATATATATCCAAAGTATGGTAAAATAACATGCTCTAGATGTAAAGATTTACTTTCAAAACGTTACTTATCACGTCATGAGAAAAAATGTATGGTATAGTCCATCCAAACAATAAGTCAACTAGTGGCGGCTCGTGGACAAAAAATTGGGGGTTCCCAATGAAAGAATATAGGTCTCAGTACAGTTTTAGGTAAAAATCTTTCAGTTTTTTGGAAAGGTATATTATAAAAACTGAAAGTTTTTTACCTAAATCTGTACTAAGATATATATTCTGTCATTGTGAACCCCCAATTTTTTGCTCACGATCCGCCACTGAAGTCAACTATAAAGGAATACCGCAAACGCAAAAAAAGTTCGGCACCTGTTTGAATAATTCGAAAAAAAATTGGTATAGGAAACGGGTTGCTTGTCGGAAGTCAGCTAAACTAACTCTTTGATAGACCGCCCATAGACGGAGATATATGTTTTTACTTAATAATTTAATTATATGTACGTATTATAGGTATATGTTTCTTTCGATTTGAAGATTTAAACTAGTAATTTTTTTATATACATATATACCTAATTAGAATAAAATAAGTAGGATTTATAACTGATGTTTTCCTTCAACGATTTCAGTGTTTTAGATAAAATTTTGCATTTTTTCTTCAAGAAGCGTGAATAGCTTTGTCGGTATACTGCCTCTGTAAGTATATTGTTTTTGGCGGTGTATCGCCTTTGACGGCTATTGCCTTTGTCGGCTATTGCCTTCGTCGGCATATTGTCTTTGTCGGCATATTGTCTTTGTCCATTTAAAGAGCCGAATTTTTAACCAATGCCGAAAAGGAAAATGAAACGTATTTGAATAAAAATAATTATTTTTACTTTCAGTGGAGTTTTGTTCATCTTAGTGACCTGTTGAGTTTTGTACGGATAACAGCTCCTGCATCGTACTTTTTAAAATTTTATAGAATATTAGTTTATGTTTTATTAGTGTTTAGTTTCGTTTTATCAATAATTAGTTTGTGTTTTGGAGGTTATATAGTAATTTTAATAAACGAATAATAATTTTTGTGTATATGTTATTAACTATGTGGAGACCGTGGGATAGTATTCCGAGCACCAGTACATCAAACAGTGATGGAGAAACTAATGCAGTGCCTACGCAAATAAAAAATAAACTCTTTTTAAATGAACAGTCCCAGCAAATTTGTTTAAATGTTTATAAAAAAAATTTAAAACGTGGATATATCGAAAACACTTCTACCGTTCAAGAACCAGCGTTTCTTACTGGTATATCGGTTTATAAAATGAACCAAATTATAAAAAATGGAATTTCCAGCAAAAAAGTCCGTGAAGACAAAGGTGTGCAAAAAAAATTAGATCCATCCATGGCCAAATCCATTGTGAATACAGTGTATGAACTTTATAAACAAAATACCATTCCCACTCTTGATATTATACATAGACGCTTAAGTGAAACTTATTTCGATACAAATATAAAAAAGTCTACATTGTATAATTGGCTAAAAAAAAATCGGTTTTAAATACAAAACGATAGATAAAAGAAGCGCAGTGATGGAAACAAGACGAATAGTAAACTGGAGAAATTCCTATTTACAGAAAATTCGTGAATATAAAAATGAAAGCAGGCCAATTTATTTTCTGGATGAAACGTGGTATGATTCGCATGATACTGCAAAAAAGGGCTGGACAAACGATAATAAATATTGCCAAGCCTTAGGTATCCCTCCAAATAAAGGCACTCGACTGATAATATTAAACTGTGGCTCAGAGGACGGTTGGGTTGACAATGCCTTACTATTAATTGGAAAAAAAAATTGATAGCTGCCAGATTGATTACCATTCAAATATGAATTCCGATATTTTTGAAGAATGGTTTACGAATTCACTGTTGCCTAATTTAAAGCCAAAAAGTGTAATAGTTATGGACAATGCTTTATATCACTCCAGGCTTAAGGAAAAAATACCTAATAAAAACTCTAAGAAAGATGAAATTCAAGAATTTTTAATGAATCACGATTTGTATTTTGATGAAAAATATAAAAAAGATGAACTTTTGGAAGTCCTAAAAACTAAAAATTTTGAAAAAAGGTATATAGTTGATGAAATTGCAGCTGAAAGAGGCCATACAGTTTTAAGGTTACCACCATATTTTTGTATTTTCAATCCTATAGAGTTACTCTGGAGCCAATTGAAACAAAATATTCGGAGAAAAAATATATTTCCCAAATTTGATTCTCAGATCGTCAACTTGATCAAAGAACAAATGGATGCGATCGGAAAATCGCAGTGGGAAGCAGTTATAAAACATGTATATGAAATAGAAGAGGAATACAGGAACAACAGCGGCATACACGTAAATAATGGAGACCGATTTATCATAAATCTCAATGAGGATGACGACGACGATGATATAATTAGTGATAACGAGGAGAAGGAAGACGAGGAGCAGGAATTTGGAAACAATGAGAAAATCTGAGTTAAATCAGCAATATGTAAGTCACATTTTAATTTTATAAGTCGGTCTATGTTTAGGTTATTTCTACATTTACTTTGTAATTTTAATTTTAAAATATTTTTTATAACTAAATTAATAAAATGTTGACGTTCGTATTCGTTTACTAATCGAGAAGTCACTTGGGAAGTAACCCAACCAGTAGAGATATGTTTGCACTATAACCAATTAAGTCAATTATTTCCTACCTATTTATATCTATAAGAAGGTAGGTATGTCATGCAGAATTGATATAAAATAAGAAACCTTTATTTCGAAATAATTGGAAATGCACTAATTAAAATATTTATTCCAGAGACGGCATTTTATTTTTCCGATAAAAATTATATACCGACAGTCGATCATTTCAATAGACACTTTGCATTTGGTATATATTTATATCAGTTTTTAATTTTGTATCATATACTTGGAACGCAGTACCTATATTTCTACTTGTAGGTATATTGTTCATAATCGAATCCTCAAATTGATTGATTATTAATCTATTTTTCGCTTTGTAAAATTATGTATTACATTTATTTTATATAATAAATCGTAGAAATTGAAATATGTGGTAATAATTAATGTTTAAAATACTCCAACCAATTAAATTAAATAATAAACTGACTTAACGATGCGACGACACTGGCTTCTTCTTACTTTGCGGATACTTTTGACTACAATGCCGCACGACACGATATTCCAGTCTGTCTACACAGGTTATCGGTTCATTTCAGCGCCGTAGAGAGAAATAATAAACTGGACTACTATATTCCAATTTGGAGTTGAGTTAATAATTTTTAGTATTAAAATACTCCTGGTAGAGACTCCTTTTTAGATGTATTCATACATAATATTTAGTGAATTTTTTTTGAAGCATCTTCAAACGGAAGCCGAACTTTTTTTTCCATTATCGGTATTTCTTTGTAGTTGACTTATTGTTTGTATGGACTATACCAGGAAATAATGATAATAAAATTAGTCAAGCAGCTGAGTCGCAAACTCTTATTGCTTGTTCTTTGGATGAAAACAATACTCTTCACAAATTAAAAGCAAAAGAGGTTTTTTCAAAAATGAAAGCGGACGAAATATCTTTAGTTGTAAAAACCGATTATCTTATATACTGTTTTGGTGAAAATTATTTGAAAAAGCACAAAAGGGAGCAGATTTTGACTGTATGCTCTAACAAAATGAGAGAACTGGCACGTCTTCTTATAGAGTTCAGAAAAATCACAAATACTCCGAATTGTATGTTACAAAGTATTTTAATGCCAAAAAATTTTGATGTAGTAGTAGAATGTGCTAAAAGATTAGGAGGTTATGATATGGAAAAAAAAACTTATAAATCTCCAAGTTTATCTGCCCACTTGGGAACATCATTAAAGCAAGTGTGTGATCTATTTATAAGAATGGTTTTGAAAGAAGATCCTTCAATAAAAGTTGAAAATAGACAATATACCCTCAAAGAAACAAAACGTTTTAATGAACTTATAGAAAGTCAATGGACAACGGAAATTAGCAGTCTTGCGTTCAAAGTTTTGCAGGAAAAACGATGGGAAAAGCCGGTTATATTACCGTTAACAACTGACATTGAAAAGTTTAAAGAATATGTTACTCAAGTGGCTGATAAAGCAGTAGCGTTACTTACAAAAGATGCCAGTAATAAAAAAGAATTTAGAAATTTAGTAGAATCTTGCCTTATATTAACTATCTTATTTAACAGACGAAAAATAGGTGATGTCCAATATAAATTTGTTAAAACTTATACCGAATATATAAATAATACAGTGAATCAAATTTAATGTGACAATGCCTTATCGGAATCGGAAAAAAATTCTTACCAAATATTACAAAAGAATTGTTACCGGAGGAAAAGGTAGTAGGTCAATTGCAATTTTATTTCCGTTAAAACTACAAACATATATTGATTTTTTTCTTACCATACGACCGCAATTGGTTTCAAAAGAAAATCAGTATTTATTTGGATGTCCTGGCACGACTAAGTGGACACGTGGAGATGTAATAATTCGAAAATATGCAGAAAAAGCAAATTTACAATACCCCATTAAAATTTCTTCCAACAAATTAAGGAAACAGATTGCTACGGTGATGCAAATTCTTAACCTCAACAACGAAGATATTGATCAATTTGCCCAATTCATGGGGCACACCGAAAAAACACAATGAATTTTACAAGTAAGTGTGTATTTTAATACACTGTAATTTAAAATTAATACAAATATGTTTAGGAAATATAAATAAATTTAAATGTTCAACTTTTTTCTTTTTCGTCATAAAATCATTAATCATCATTTTTACTTATTTATTAGTTAATAAGAATTAAAATAGCTATTTGTATATTAAGAGCGAAAAGTGATACTTTGCAGCTTGAGACAGAAAGTTGCGCAATCTGTCGATAGCGGCAACTTTTCGCTCAAAATGCACACAAGATTTTTTTCTACGATCACACTATTTTTAAAAATAGATATAAAAACTGAAAATTTGTATAAGTAGTGTATAATCTAAGCTAATCATGAAAAACGGAGTTGATATTCAAAGTCAATGTTAACTTAGATAATAAACCAAAAAAAAAAAACATCAAACTACGTACAAATAACTTGAAAATCATGTATTAAAAAGAAATATTACACTATATCTAATTTTAATTAGGCTAGCAACAAAGCTGTCAAGTTTGCTTGCTGTTGTATTTCGAAGCGCAAAAGACTACTTTGAATAGTGATCTTAGAAAAAAAATATCGTATAACATTAGTTTTAAAGTAAACTTTCACGATTTAAATTGTTTAGGTATTTTAATGTAAAAAAGGCACTTTTAGATACTACCAATGGTCCTGTCGAATTGTAATTGGGTTATCTTCAGAAACTACTATTTTTATTTAAATTGGAAGTGCTACTTAGTTCAATTGTGTAAAATAAAATACGAAAATTAAATATTAATAATGATATAATTGATCTACTATTATTATTTACATGCTCCAATAGGCTGCCACAAGATATATATCAGACCGCTAAAGTGTCGAAACTGTTGCTATTAATGGAAAAAGGAGGAGTGGACAAATATAAAGGAAAATCATTAAATCAGATAGATATTAACCCAGAAGAGGAATTTGCACATGAAGATTCAGCCGAAAATATATCCATTACAAAAACAAACTTTTATTCAACAAATTTTACAAGGTAGGACTGTCAACAAAGAAAATATAATTTTTTTCCATTTGGAAATGTAGCAAATAACTTAGTTCATTTAATAATGAAATTTTTTTCATTTTTACATTGCAGTATTTAAAGTGTAAACATCAACCCCCAATAGGAAACTGCTGCATTCCATTATCATTATACAGTGTGACAATTTAAAAACTTACAATGGGCTATATCTCACAAACGAAAGATGATATCGAAAAAGTCATTAATTTGTCTTTAATTTATTAACAAATTTTATTTTATTTTTAGAGGAATCAAATAAAAACAATCAAGATGCGAAGCTGATTGGTCGTACAAAATGGAACCAAGAACAAATAAAATTAATAAAACACCATTTTAAAAATCATATCGATACAAAAAAGGCTCCTAAAAACAAGAATGTCTGGATTTGCTTAAAAAGCATTCTGACGTCCTCTACAATAAAGATTGGGTCCGTATTAAGACTTTTGTGTACAATTGTTACAGAAAAAAATAATGTTTTTTGTGTTGTTCCTTTTTATATTTTTGAAAATCTCAGTTTTGTTTGTTACAGAAAAAAATATTTTTTGTGTTGTTGTTCCTTTTTATATTTTTGAAAACCTCAGTTTTGTTTGTTCAATAAACATAATACCTTGTTTTTATTCTTTATTATTCCCATTACACACCGAAATTTAATTTTAAAATACGAAGATGGCTGGAAACTTTGAAGTTTTAACATTAGATATATAAAGGATCACTTACTTTTTATATGAAAGTCCATTCGGATTATCGGGATACCAAGTTCTGAAGGAGGCGATAGAACACATACAAATAAGGCTAGTTTTTTTAAATAAAGTATTGACAAATACATTTTTTTTAGAAAAAATAAAAGCGCATTACATTAAAAATTATTCATTTAAACTTCAGCATCAATTAAATCATAAAAAAATTAACCATTCAAATTTTCAACATCTTCTATTTTGTAATAATCTTTTTCTGGTAATCCTCACCCATACTTAAATTTTAATTTCAACTTAGAGTCTAACTTATTGTCAGTAATTAGCTAAATTAAATATTTAAAATAATTTTTTTTTTTATTTAAAAGTCGAAAAAAAAATGTAAACCACAAAGTAATTTCTACAATTCTAGTTTCACATCTTTACTCGGGGTTTGTATAGTAATCATGATTTTTTTCGACCTCGAGTTTTTGACGGATTTTTACGTTTTGGTGTGTGTGTGTGTGTGTGTGTGTGTGTGTGTGTGTGTGTGTGTGTGTGTGTGTGTGTGTGTGTATGCGCGTGTGCTTTCGTTTGTGTACACTCGATAACTCATGAATGAATACAGAGAAAAACACCAAATTTTACAAAAAAGCTTTATTCCGGCCTGCGGTGAGCTGAATAGATTTTGGGCAGAATCGGAACTTATGGGGGGTACTTTATAGGAGGTCGGTTTTCTAATTTATGGGATATGTTATTTACGCTTGGAAAAAATCTTTAAATAAAAGTTGCTAGTAATAAATATTCTCTATAATTTTTGTCCCTATAATTTTCCCAAAATGGCTGTATCCGAGAAATTTGACAAAAAGTGCGAAATTCAAAAGTTTTACAAAATAAAAGTTTGGATGGACAACGTCCGAAATTTTTTTAAAGTGGCTTAAATTTTTTGCTGAAACCGTAAAACCTACAGAAATTGAAAAAGTGTCGCTGGTACTAGATGGGCATACAAGCCACAAATCCTTATAGGCTCAGGTGTATGCAAAAGTACAGACATTGTCTTATTTTGTTTACCACCTCACTGTATCCATAGGGTACAGCCATTAGATGTCACATTCTTTGGGCCACTCTCCACCTACTACAATCAAGAAATTACTAGCTGGTTAAAACAGAATCCTGAAATAGTGATCACTCATTTTCAGGTAGGAAAGATTTTTAAATCTGCCAAAAAGCAGCTGAAACGGGTATATAACCTTTTAATAAAGATGTTTTTCCGGATTAGATGTTCGAGCCTGTGGAAACCACCAACTTTGAGTACAATCAGAATATTGAAGGACCGAATAATATCGATAAAAGGTCAGAAGAAGAAGAAGAACCGAATAATAACAATGAGAAAACGACAGAAGAGAAAAGCAATATAGAGCAAAGAAATGAACATTTCAATACAGAAGATAATTTGCAGGTAGCCGGGCTATCTGGCTTACAAAACAAAATATTACACAAAAAAGTCGGAAAAGAAACAAATAAATTTCCAGCAACATCTTTCTTAATAATACCCTCAGAAATTTCACCTTCACCAAAAGCTACTGATACGAGCAACAAAAGAAAACGCAACAACCTTTCCAAATATGGCGTCTTAAATACAACCCCCGAAATAGAACTTTTAAAAATGAAAACTGCCAAAAAAATGCTGAGTTAGCAAGAAAGGAGGCAAAAAAGCTCAAAACTAAAATTTTTAACGATACTGATTCAAAAACTAAACCTGTACCTAGAAAAACTGCTACAATTGCATGCAGTTTAATACCGACCATGCAATCAGAGACAGAGATCAGTGACGATGAAGATGACACAGTCTGCATCTTTTGCAGTGGACTATTTTCTCGTTCCAAACCAAACGAGCAATGGATTCGTTGCTTGTCTTATAAGAAATGGGCCCACTGCGAATGTTCAGATTGTCCCTTCAAAAATAAGCAGTATATATGTGATTTCTGTGTCTAGCTTAGGTACCTTCTCCCTACTTTGTCATTACTTTTTTTGATGAATAATATTTGTGTTTTTTATATTTTTAAGCTCTGTTAATTTTAATTTTAGGTGCTAATAATTGTAGCTGACTCTGCATAAGTTAAGCATTACATTTCATTTATATTTTTACTAGAACAAACTTTTTTTGACAAGGCATTATCGCAACTACAATGATGATAAAGTTGAACAGGCATTAACAGCGGCTGCCGATGGAAGGTTAAGCATAAGGGGAGCTTCACGGGAATTTAAAATACCCTATGGTACTCTGAGCAATAAATTTCATGGAAGACATGTCCTAAAACCTGGAGGAAAACCCGTTTTCAGTACAGAAGAAGAGAAAGCATTTGTCAAAGGCATTCAAAAGTGCTCTGATTGGGGCTTCCCTCTAGGTGAGCGAGATGTTAAGATCCTTGTTATAAACTATTTGAATAGCAGAGGGATTCAGGAGCCACGTTTCGTCAACAATACACCTGGTGATGATTGGGTGAAATTATTTTCAAAACGACACAATAACGAACTGGGTCAAAGATGGGCTGCTAACATAAAGAAGGCAAGAAGGTTACCAGGGAAACTATTCAGGATTATTTTAACAATCTACAATGTGCTAAATGTGGAGCCTCAAAACATGTTTAACTATGACGAAACAAATGTTTCTGATGACCCCCGAAAAGTTAAAGCTTCGTTTAGAAGAGGGGTCAAATATCCAGAACGGGTTATCAACCATTCGAAATCGTCAACCACGGTGATGATGTGTGGCTCGACAAGTGGTGTGCTTTTGCCACCCTACGTAATATATAAAGGAGAACATCATGATATGAATATAGCTGTGTCAAATTTTAAAGTTTTCGAAGACAACCAAGGTTGTATTGCATTAATAAAGAACCCTGAAAATAATAAGAGGATAAAGCATATTGATATAAAATATAATTTTGTTTGTGAATGAATAAATAATAAAAGCATGTTTTTAGAGTATATAAATACGACACTCCAATTAGCTGATATTTTGACCAAAGGACTACACAAGGATCAGTTATACTCAAATAGATTAGGAATAGGTTTGAAATGAGAGAGGGTTATTAACTTGTATGTTAAGGTAAATGTTATTAGGATTGTGTTTTTATGTTACTTTTGTTTGTATGCATTTAGTTTTATTTTAAAATTTATAATCTAGAAAGAAAAGCATTAAGAGAGGGTGTTGTTATAAACTCATTTAGCTCATAAGTAATGCTTTCCTTTGTTAAGTTCGAGTCTCGTTAATGTTGATCTGAGATGTAAATGAAGTGTAAAAATGTCAGATGTCAAAAAAAGGTTGACTTGATTTTTTTTACCCTTCAAGAAGACACTAACAGAAAGATGGAGGTGATGCCTCATTCGTTGTAAGAGTTTGTATTTGCTCAGTTATAATAAACATTAGAAATAACCATTGCGTATATTTATATAATATCACAAGAAGATATTTAGAACACGTTGTCTTAGCTGAATAAAAAATACATTATTGTTTTATTTATCAAAATCTAATTTATAGTTCCTACCCTACTATCTATATTATATACTGTTACAGTTCTCTACAGTACCGACTAAATGTACTAGATCTTTTCTTTTTCTGTATTTTAAAGACCAATAAAAATTTAAATAAAATAAAAATGATAAACCGTTGTCATTAGCAACTATAAAGGCACGCGCGTATAACGTAAAAAGGTATAGGTGACTTCGTTTATTCCTTATTAGTTTTGTTGATTGTTAAAAGTAGTAGCGTTACGCTGCGTAGGTAACATTTATTTATTTTTTATGAAGTAGAAGTACCTACTTACGTTTTAATTTAGTGTTTGATGTTTATGCTATTTGACAGTTTTTTTTTCATTCTAGTAATTTATAAGTATAATTACAATTATTATATAATATATAAAGACTATAAAATGTCAAACCGGCAAAAAATTTGTGAAATTTCACTCCATAGCGACCAATATACAAAGTGTAATATTTGCAAGAAAAAAATTTCGTTTAAAACCACAAATTCCAATATGAGAAAGCATATGAAAACAAATCATCCAACTGTTTTAATTTCTACTCACAAGGGGAAAGAAAACGAGGAATTACACAATAACGACAATGATGTAGAATTAGTTAATAATACGACAGTTTTAGATGCCATAAATAACACACCATCGACGTCAAAAAACCCACCAACAGTACTTAAAAATGTTACCTCAACCACCAAACAGCAAAAAATATCTACATTTATTCCTAAAAAAATGGGGGTATCTGCAAATAAAAAGATTACGGATAAATTGCTAAAAATGTTTTTCTCGGATTTTCAACCTTTTAGAATGGTTGAAGATAACGGTTTCCGAGAATTCGTTACTGCTTTAAACCCATCTTATGAAATTCGAAATAGGCATTCCATTTCCAAATCACTAATTCCAGCTAGGTACGAAGAATGTGTTTTAAAATGTCGTGAAATTTTGACAAACTGCAAATCAGTATGTATCACTATGGATTGTTGGTCGTCTGTTAATACAGAAAGTTTTATAGGCGTTACTGGCCATTTCATTAGCAACACATTTGAAATGACGTCAATTTTATTAGATTGTAAATTATTACCTAACCATCACACTAGTATAAATTTGGCACAGGCACTGACCGAAATAACTGGAGACTGGAACCTGCAAAATAAAATTATTTTGACAGTGTCGGATAACGCGGCTAACATTAAAAGAGCAGTTACCAAAGAACTTGGTTGGAAACATTTTGGCTGTTTTGCACACTCTTTAAATTTGGTAGTCTCAGATCCTTTTTGGTAGTCTCAGATGCCTTTTTGGTAGTCTCAGATGCCATAAGTGTAAACCAAAATGTATCTTCACTGATAAGTGATATAAAGACAATTGTAGGTCATTTTAAACGGAGTGCAATATCTAATGAAAAACTAATGACAAATCAAAAAAATAAATAAAATAAAAAACCATTAAAATTGCTGCAAGATGTACCAACTAGATGGAACTCAACATTTTATATGTTAAGACGTTTTGTTGATCTAGAAGAGAAGATATCGGGCAAGGTGGTGTAGCGGTCTATCGCGCTTATATTCATTTATAGGCAAGTTTATGAGTCTGAGACTGCTGGGTTTCGAATCCCAGACCAGACCATGTGGATTTTTAATTAAATTGCATGGTTCGGTTTAGGATTTGATGTGTGGCGTATTAATAGAAATTCAATTTCTGTTGATATGACATGCAGATTAAAAAAATTCGCCATACATTACCGTCTCGATGATGGTGGGTGAGGTTTTCCGGGTTTTCCTCACCTGTAAGTCAAATGGCACCATCAATCATCTTTAAGTCGCCCCGGAGCGCCACGGCAAATAATAATAATAGCCGTCCCTTTCCCCGGACAAGCTCAGCTTTTGGGGTTAAAATTCACTCGTAAGGGGGTGAATTAGGGAGAGTATTATTATTATTATTATTATTATATAAGAAGTACAATTGCAATAATAGAAAAAGACTTACCAGTTTTGAGCGTGCAACACTGAAATATTTGCAAACAATTATGCCAAGTCTTAAAACCTTTTGAGGCAACCACAAAAAGTATTAGCGGCGAAAAATATGCCACTGCATCTTTAGTTATTCCTTTAGTGAATGGTCTAAAGTCCGTATGTGATGTTTTAAATAAAAAGACTTCAATCCTGACGTGACACAGATTATTTCAAAATTAACTTTGGGTCTTGAAGAACGATTTGCTAATGTAGAACGTAGCAATACACTTGCCTTCTGTACCTTTCTCGACCCCAGATTTAAAATGCTTGCTTTTTCAGATGAGAGAATAGCAGAAAATTTAAAAAAAAAAATGTCATAGGAATTGTAACATCCAAATTTTCAGAAAAGCACACAAATAGTTTCGAAAATTCTACAGATGCAGAACAACCTAATAATAATAACACTGATTCCGACGAAGAGTTATCTGTATGGGGAAGTTTTAAGGAAGAGTACGAAACCAAAAGCAACATCGGCTTCTCAAGCAATAATTAAAACGTTACTAAAATAGTGATGAGAATGAAACACCTGGTCCAGTGAGAAAGAAATTAAAAGGCTCCCATAGAAAACAGGTAAGTGGTGTCATGTGCTCGTATATGTTAAATCACCGAACTATCAAGGAACTTCAATGTATAACATCAAAAGATCAAGTTTGACAATTTACGACCCGAAAATGTAAACAAAAGGCACAAATATGATCAGGCGAGTAGCTTACTCCTCAAATTGACGATGATGAGGCTCGGGCTCAAGAGAACCGTATTTTTAATTTTTTTTTTTTTTTTTTTTTGAAAACTGACATCAAAAGTTGACATTTACATAATTTTTGTTTAATATTAAAATAACACTGTTACATCTAAGATACATTTAAACGATTTATCTTGTTTATTAATTTATCTATGAGCTGTACAGTATATTTTTTCTATGACCCACTAACGAAAATTTACAAATAGGTATTAAACATTATTTTAGGCTATTAAGGTAAAATAACTAATTTAAAAATAATTTATGACTTTTATATATATATATATATATATATATATATATATATATATATATATATATATATTGTAATGTTTTATTTAATAATATATGGGAATTAATTTATTTGGTTTCAATTGTTAGTTTGTCTTGAGTTTTATATGAATTTATTTTTTTTATTTTTTTTTTTTAATTTCTTTGACTGGACTATTATTCAATATTTTTTTTTTTATTATTATTATTATGCCTGGTCTGTAGCTAGTCGAAGAGTAGAGATTCTAATCTCAGACAGGTGTTCTGCTATATTCTGCAAATCTATCTTATTCTTCTGTGATGAACTTTTACTACCCACCAATAGATGTCTTAACCAAATTTTTTTTTAAATTGTTATTTAGTTGTAAATCTTTTTATATAATGAAACACGAATCAGAACACAACAACTATAATAATGATTTGGATGTAAATGGACATATAATATTATCATAAAATGCAAAAAAAAAAAACAAGATTAACTACCACCTTAAATCTATTACCAAATCAGTTTCACTCACGGTAGATTCTAATTCCGTTCGAATGTTGGTATCAATGTATATTACGTGTTAAATAACTATTACGAAATGGAGACCTTTTAACACCGTGAGTGCACTTGTGAAAATTATTCGAATAATTTTATGTAATTGGTAAGTATTAATTTTAACATACAGTATATTTATTTACTAATATGCGGGTATATTATTTTAAAATATATTCAATGAACTTATATCACCCTAATTCGAATGATGATACCAAATTATAGACAGTCTCTGTTTTATTTTGGAGATTTACTAATTTCAACTGAACGCTAGATGCGTTCAGCCTGAAAAACGCCTTCTGAATTAACTTCTAAATTCCTACCATAAATTCACGTGAATAGAATATAACGTCTAAAGATCAAATATTATTTTTCTTATAGGATGCAGCAATGTATTTTCATGCACACGAAAGTCGGCTTTATGTGCATAGTGGCAAGATGTGACTATTATAACGGTATGCGATAACACATACGGGACCCTGACAAGGTAAATAGTTAATAGATTTATCTCACCAAATTATAGCTTCTGACTGTGTTATTTGTACTAGTGCTTCCAGTACATTAGATTCAACTTTTTTAAGCACCTTTTAATTGCTCCAATATGCTTTAATTTAATTAATTCGCAAAATTTTCTACCATAACCTTTTTTTTTTTTGTCATCCGGTCCAATCCGCCGGTCAACAACCTCCTAGCAACCTTTTTTTTTTAAGCTCTCACTTTTTTTATAACTAACCAATCACGGTTATGATATTTTTCTGTCAAACGTATTTTTCTTAGATATTATTATTTTATTGACGTGAATGTTATTTTTACGTATAAATAAATATTTTACAGCGATAGTATGTACAAAATTATTAATGGTTGTGTAAATTCTAATTTAAGTGTTTCTCATAATTCAAATTTCAATGTATACCTGTAATTTGATTGGTTGTCAAAAATATTTCAGAATGCAGAATCTGATTTGTTGCTAACGTAATTTTATGACATTTCATATGTCTCTTTGTTTTGTGACTATTTTATATACAAAGTGGTTCATGCTTTAAATACACAGTGTGATTTTGCAAACTACGATCGACGATTTCTTAATAAACATTTATAAATTATCAAATTGACATTGAATGATGTAGATTTAACTACCATGGAGCGTAAAATGTTTCTAATAGTTGACCTGAACAATATTTATAAATAACCATCTAAATTATACAAAACATTTATACAGAGTGATGATGAAATCATTACAATTGCCCCATTTTATTTTTAAATTATTTTGCTAAATAATTTACAAATAAAATCTTGTTCTCTTTACTTATTGCTAGTTATCATGTAATATGTTTGGATCTTTAAACAAATAAATCTGTGTAATGTTAAAAATTCCCCTAATTCGGTTAGTTAAAGGATCTTTTAAAATGTATGAGTTGACTGCGTGTTCATTTTCAATTATGTAAGGTCCTTCTAATGGAAATAGTAATTTTTTAGATATTCTTTTCCGTGGATTAGGAACACGCAGAGACTTTACAATAACCATGTCCCCTTTATTAAATTTAACTTTATTTTTAATACTTTTATTTTTCCTTTTTAGGTATCTGTGTGCATTACGTTGAAGTTTCTGTCCTACTTTGAAAATAAGATTTTGATAATCGAGAATATTTTCACAAATCCATGGTCTGTTAATTGGTGAAGAATTAATTAGTAGATGTGGACTAATTTCCGTTACAGTATTTGGAGTATGGTTCAAGAATTCTGATATTTCCATTAATTTTGTGTCCCACAAGAAATGTTCGTTTTCAACTAATATACGAAGATACCGAATTATTTCCTTTATGTACCTTTCTGTTGGATTTGCTCTAGGATTTCTAAAACTAATGAAATTTGGAATGATGTTTTGACTATTGAAAAATGATATGATACGTTGATTTGAAAAGTACGATGCATTGTCCAGGATACAATATGATGGTAAGCCTACTTCATTTATAAATTTATTTATGCATGTTTTGACTGTGTTTGTGTTTGTGTGTTTGCAAGCGTATAATTGTACATATTTTGAAAAAATATCTAGTATGACAAAAATGTGTTTGTTACCATTATCTGTTTTAACTAAATTTGAAATAAAATCTATAGAGATAATGTGTAAAGGAGCAACTGGTAATATTGTTTTTGCAATATTTTCGTTATGTCGGTTTTTATCTTTTGAAACTTGACATAATGAACAAGTAGTCGTTATGTTTTTCGCAAGTTTATAATCATTTGAAGTAATGAATGTTTCCCTAAATAATAGCCAAAGTTTTCTACTTCCTGGATGATGATACATGATATGTAATTGATGTAAAATTTCTAAAGCAAGTGTTTTTGTGATTACGTATAACTCATTTTCTTGTGACTTTCTAAAATATGTTTGTCCATTATATAATGATTTTTGTTTTGTTTTAATATCAAGTAAATTTTGATCTTGTATTATGCTATTAAGAGAAAATACTGAATTATCATTATATAATATGTTCAGACCAGTTTTAACCTGTTTTAGTGTCTTATTGTACCCATCCATTCGAGAGATTGCATCGGACACAACATTTAAAATTCCCTTAACATGTCTAATTTCAAAATCATACTCTTGTAACAAAATACTCCAACGAAATATTCTGCTATTATTGAATTTATTATTTAATAAAGATATTAGACCACTATTATCCGTTTCTAAAATGAATTTTCTACCTACTAAATAAAATTT